AGAGGAGTGGCTGATTGGGAGGCAGAGCGAGGCGCGTCTCAGAGGCGTCGCCTGGGCCGCTGAGAGCTCGACGTACTCGCCTGTCAGCTCGGGGAAGTCGCCTTCGCGGGCGGCGGAGCGGCGCACGGCGAGGCAAGCTGCATTGCGATCGAAGCTGCCACTGCACTCGGGGAAGACCGCAACCACACACGCGCACGGGCTGCAGCTGCCGCGGACGGAGACCTAGCACGGACGAAGGCGAGAGGTGGTGGGAGGGAGGCCAAGAGGCGCGGTGCACGGGGCATGGTGTCGCGGACCAGGTCGCCCGTCGAGAAGGCTGTTTCGGAGGAGGGTGGGCGCGAAGGCGGCGAGGGCGGCGAGGGCGGGGACGGAGAAGCGGGTGGCAATGCTGGTGGCGCCGGAGGGCTGGCCGGCGGACTGGCGGGCGGTGGTGGCGGTGGGACAGCGCAGATCGAGTCGCCGTCGACCGCGTCCCTTTCGACGCGGCAGAGGCACTCGAACTGGCCGGAGCACGGGTTCCCACTCTCGCCTGCAATGTACAGCTCGTGCGTGCCGGCCTCGTACGAGCACCCGTTCGCGGCCCAGTCGGCGCCGACATGAACAATGACTGAGCCGAGGTAGACACCGAGGGCTGCCGCGGCCGCAAGGCACTCCGACCGGCCGGAGATGGAGGAGCCTCCGGCCTCCTCGCAGTTGTCGTGCGAGGAGACGCGCGCGTAGCACCCCGCTGGCGAGGGCGAGGGCTCTGGCGACGGCTCCGGCGAGAAGTCGGGGTCGGGCTCCGGCGAGGGCTCCGGCGAGGGGGAGGGGGAGGGCTCCTCGTAGCCGGCGGCTCGGCAACTCCTCGGGCAACGGCGAAACACGCGCTCCACGAAGCAGCCCGGCGAGCGGATCTCCTCTGCGCAGTCTGCGCGCTCCTTGCTAGGTGGCGGGGGCGGTTGCAGCGGGGGCGATGGCGGCGGATACGGGAGCGGCGGAGCAGGGGTTGGTAAGGCGGCAAAGCACAGCTTCCACCCGGCCTCCGTCCCGGAGTCGTCGCTGCGCCACGTGAGGGTGGAGCCCGCGGCAAGACGCGCCGGGACGTCCTCCGGAGAATCCACATTCAGCTCCGCCGCCGTGTTGTTGATCGCCAGGTCGTCGCAGCACGTCTCCAGCGAGAATGGCTGCTCGACGCGGACAGTCGCATCGCGGTGGAAGAGGATGGTACACGTCTCCTCGTTGCCGTAGTCGTCCGGGTGGTTGAGGGAGGCGATGCAGTCGCCGCCCGGGAGGGAGGCACAGCCGTCGCCGTCAATCGAGTAGAGCGTCCCGGGAGGAAGGAGGGGCGATGGCGGCGGATGCGGGGGCGGCGGCGGATAGGGGCCGTCCAGCCACTCGTCCAGCACTTGCCACCCGGCCTGGGGAAGGATGCCCAGCTCGCCCAGGACGGCGGCCGGCGCCGCGAGCGAGACGAGCGGGCTGTAGAGCCGCGCGGCAAGCGCAGTTACATCCGTGAGGACGCAGGTCTGGTACTCTGAGGAGAGGTCTTCATAGTTGGGTGTGTCCCCGTGGAGGTACTGGCACCAGCAGCTCCCGCCACTTTCGATATTGGCGATGTCGCAGCCCAAGCCGGAGTTAAAGGCACGGCTGATACACTCTGCCGGGGAGTCGGAGTGGCCGAGATTCTCCCCTTCGCGGTTGTATTCGTTGGACGCGAACCAGCGGCAGGTGGACCAGGGATCTGACAGGAGGTCCGACAGGAGAGACTCAAACGCGGCCTGCGCCGCCGGCAAGCTGGCATACACCTCTCCCTCGGCGACGCCGGCGTCGCGCGGTACGTACACGACGACGGCCCAGCCGCGCCCGAGCCATTGCCCAACCTCGAAGCAGTTCCGCACGCAATCGGCAGCGCCGGCAGGAGGCAGTCCGAGCTCGAAGCACTCGCCTCGGCGGTTGAGGCGAGCGCAGCTCTCGCACTGTCCGGCAAATCCGCCGCCGCCGCCGCCGTAGTTATAGTCGTAGCCGCCGCAGCCGCCCTCTCCTCCGCAATAGTCGTAGTTGCAAAAGCGCTCGCCGGCTGCCTCGCACCCGCAAGGCGCTGGTGGCAGGGGCGGCAGCGGTGCCGGCGGCGGCTGCGCTGGCGGGGGCTGTGCTGGCGGTGCCGGCGGCGCTCCCGGCGGCGAGGGCATGTTGGGCGGGGTTGGCGGGCTGCCAGGCGGGCTCGGCGGGGATGCGGGTGGCGGAGGGACAGCTCCCGGGACGAGGCCCTTGTAGACCGGCCTCCCGTTCCTCCACTCGCCCATCGTCACGAGGGTGCGAGGCGAGGCCAGCGGCAGGCCGCACTCGCACACGATCGGGAGCCAGGGCAGCTCGGAGCTGCCACCATACGGGTAATAGCTGCCGCCATACCGGTAATCTTCAGGCGGTGGAAGCTGCTCCCACGCATCGATACAGCCGAGCGGCAACGCGTCGCCCAACCCCTCGCAGTCCGGCCAGCCGTCCCCGTACTCCGACCACTCATACCGCCTCGCGCCGGTGCAGATCCTGGGGCCAGCCTCGCTGCAATACTCGGAGCAGGAACCGACAGCGGCGAGCGGGCTCTCGCGGGAGGGAGGGAGCGCCAGCAGCACGCTGCACTCACCGCACGCGTCGACCGCGGCGGGGAACGCCGCCTCGTCGCACTCGCCGCCCGGGGAGCGGTCCAGGTCGGGCGCGGGCGGCGTGCAAAACGCCCAACCGCCGCCGTGTGTGTGCTCCTCCTCGGCGCAGCCTGGGTTGGCGACCAGGCACCAGTGGCTGCTTTCGAGGCAGCTGCTGCAGCCGCGCTGGTTCTCGCAGGCGAGTCCGTCATCTGGGGACGACCACTCGTCGAGGCACTCGCAGGCCTGCAGGCCGGCATGCCGCCACCACGAGTGCGAGGCGGCGGGGCCCGGAGGAGTCCAGACAAACTCCGAGGCGCACTCGCCCGAGCCGGGCAGCGCGGGGGGAGGAAACGCCGGCGGGGCCGACGGCGGCTCGGGCGGCGGAGCCGGCGGCGCGGGCAGCGCGGGTGGCGCGGGTGGCGCCGGCGGCGACACGGGCGGCAGCGGAGGCGGAGGCGGAAAGCGCGACGCAAAGCAGATCTTCCAGCCTGCGTAGGAGACGGAGTAGTCGCTGGACCACTCCATCCGCCCGTCGGCCACGGTCAGCCTCGGCTCACACGGCAGGCCCGATCTGCAGACTGCCTCCTCGTCCACGCCGCCCAAGTCGTAGTAGTTCGCCGTGATCATGTTGGGAGGATCCTGGGTCACTGAGCCGCAGACACGCACCTCGCCACCAGACGGAGAGTTGAACTTGAGGTAGTCGTATCCACAAGTCGGTTCGAACTCCACATCGAAGGCCTCCACCAGGAAGGGAACAGCCGGGATGCCTCGGAATTCGCAGCCCTCATCGTCGCCGTAGCCTGCGGCATCACGGCAGGCTCAGAGCTGGTGCGTGGAGCGCGCGTGGTGCCACGCACAGCGAGAGCTCGGCAGTGGGATCTCTGGGCTGCATAGAGGTGCAAGGTGAGAACCTGTGGGCCAGCTTGGCGACGTCACGCACTCGAGCCCCCCGGCCTCGGTGAGGACGCCGCAGTCGCCACGTTCGACGCTGATCGACGCAGACACGCCGATGGCTACGCAGAGTCCCAGCACGGAGGACCGAAGGGCTCGGCGCATGACCACAAGAGCGCTCGCAATCGTGTCAGGTCGGACGCCCGCGGTTACTCGCCCGGAAAAAGGTTTGGGCCACGTCGGGTGTCGAATGAAGGAGTGTCGATAGAAACCTCCCACGACGGCTTCCCGCGCCCACCCGCGCCTGCTCGCTCACCGCCCGCCCGTTCCCTCCGTCAGATTGACCGCCGGATGTGCGGCGTGTCGTCGAGCCCCGCCCTCGCGCGCGACCTCGCGACGCCCGCCCTGCACGGTGCACCTGCACGGAGCTACTCCCTTAATGTGGGTAAACCATAGTACCGTATACGGTACTATCGCAGAGATATATTTCCCACTTTCCGCACAAATGTGGCACCCGTGGCTCTCGATCCGTCCACCTTGCTGTATGCCGACCTCAAACCACCAGCGCCAGCAACGACGTGCCGCGGCTCGCCGCGCCGCTATTGCGACCGACGACGTGCCCGACGCCGTCCCGCGGCCGCCAGGACGCCCAGCATGCCGCTGAAGGCGCGCAGCACGGTGCCCTCCGAGCAGAGCAGCACGCCGAGCATCTTGCCGGTCCGCCGCCGCTCCTGCGTCAGGCCGAAGCGGGTCTGGCTCTGCGGCGGTGAAGCGAAGTTTGCCCGCTCTGCTCGATGCGCCGCAGCAGCGACAGCGCCTCTGCCTGCGCAGTGCGAGGCAACGAGTGCGGCCGCCCGCACGAGGAGCACCAACCGGAGGCACCCGGCGGAGCGAGGCCGACGAGCGAGCTGGCGAGCGGCATGTACACCTCGAGCCGGTCGGAGCCGAGTTGCCGACGAAGAACGTGCGGTTGAACAGCTCGACCGCACCGCCGTCCTCGACGTACAGCGCGCCGCCGCTCACGACGGCGGCGTTGCCCTCGGGCGGCGGGCGGCGGGCGCAGTGGCCAGCAGCTCTTCTCCTTCTCGGCGGTGGGCGACATGGCTAGCGAATCCGCCCCACGCGACCTGTTCGCAGCGGCAGAGGCTGTGTCGAGACGGGTGCACGCGACGTGACCGCGCGAGGGCCGCCGGTCCGCAGACCGACATGGCCGAGACCCACAGCACGCGTAAGTGGTCTGGCACGAGGGAGTACGACGCGCCTGCCCCCACGCTGATGACTCTGGAAGGAGGTTGTGTCCAGAGAGGCTTCGAGGGGCGTGCTGCGCGGCTCAAAAACCCGCGACTGGGAAGAGAGCGAACGGCGGTGCGGGCCACAGGCAGAGCAGGGGCGGAGCGGGCGGGGCAGGCGGGGCGGCGGCGCCTGTGACGGGGAGCCAGAAGAGCATCGACGACCCGTACAGGTTCGGAAGCTCTCGCCGCAGCTGGCCGGTCGTCCTGCGAGAGCACTCACGCAGGGCCGGGTCACAGAGGCCGGGTCACAGAGGCTGGATCACAGAGGCCGGGTCACAGAGGCCGGGTCACAGAGGCTGGATCACAGAGGCTGGGTCACAGAGGCCGGGTCTCAGATGCTGGATCACAGAGGCTGGATCACAGAGGCTGGATCACAGAGGCTGGGTCACAGAGGCTGGATCACAGAGGCTGGATCACAGAGGCTGGATCACAGAGGCTGGGTCACAGAGGCTGGGTCACAGAGGCTGGATCACAGAGGCTGGATCACAGAGGCTGGGTCACAGAGGCTGGGTCACAGAGGGCGGCAGCGCAGTGGTGCTAGGGGCGGCGGGGCAGAGGTGCTGGAGCGTCGCCTCGTCGCCATCTGCGTGGGGTCTCTGTCTGCGAGTAGTCTGCGCCTGGAGCGCACGGCAGCCCAGTCAGCAGTGCCGCACGCCGCCTCGGCCACGTTGCACCAGAGGAGGTAGCACGGGTTGTTGAGGCCCGTGGTCACAAGCTGCGACGCAAGCACCTTTGGGACCAGCGTCCTTATGGCTACGCCGGGCGCTAACCGATCCATCAGCTGGTACCAGCGGTAAAAAGCGGGAGAGGCGAGGCCGTTGTACGCAGCGGAGACAAAGTTGCGCTGTGGGTCGAACTGCTTTTCTCCCGCACTGCGCTGTGCGACTGCATCGCCGACTGCCATCACGCAAAAGCCGGTGCAAGCCGCCGTCCCGAGCGGCCGTGTGCTGCTGGCGGAGCGGAAAACCGCGTTCATGCGTTGCATTCTTTATCGAGCGCCTCTCCGCGTCCACCGAGAGAGGCAACGGCACGACATATTTCTTTTTGCGGCTGCGGCTTCCTGGTGTGCCTTCGTTGTCTGTCACATGTCAACCCTTGAATTCTTTCTCTCGCGCGGCTGGCGCGCTCTGGCACTAACATCGTGGTGTACCTATGTTCGTGCCGGCAGGGGTGTTCGTGCCAGTGCGCGGCAGTCCCGTGCCTACTGTAGAGTTGTCCTTTGTAGAGTTGCCGCCTGCACACCGGGTGGATAGGAGAGAATAGCCGTTATCCTGTAGAGTTGTCCTTTTGGAACCGCCGTGCATTTTTCTTTTTCTCGCGATGTCCACCCCGCCGCGCCGCCGCTCTCGCCGCCTCGCCACCGCCGCCGCCGCCGCCGCCCCCTCGCCAGACACGCCGCCGCCCACCCGCCTCCTCGACCTCCCCACGGAGCTCCTCGCGCGCGCCCTCTCTCACTGCGATCCCGTCGACCTCGCTCGCGTCGCGGCCGTCTCGCTCCTCTTCCACGCCTCGCTAGCGGTAGAGGGCATCCGCTTGTGGGCGCAAGAGCGCGGCTTCGAGCTGCCGGCGCTGCCAGAGGGCGAGGGCTGCGCCGTGCGGTGGCTGTGCTATTCGGCGCTGCTGCGCGAGTCCAGCCCGCCGGCGAGGGTGGCAGCAGGCCAACGGCACAGCCTCTTCATCGATGGCGAGGGGCGGCTCTCGTCGTGCGGCTCAGTGCCGTCTTATAATCCCGGGTTGCTCGGGCACGGCGAGGGCGTGACGCGGCTAAACACGCCGACCCGCCTCCCATCCCCTCTTCTGGGCGGCGAGCGCGCCGTGAGCGTGTCGGCTGGAGGCGGCCACAGCCTCGCCATCGCCGCCGACGGCAGCGTCTGGAGCTGGGGCTATGGAGGCTCTGGTCGGCTGGGCCACGGCGACCAGCAGGACCAGCTGCTGCCCAAGAAGATCGAGGCCTTCGCAGGGCGGCGCGTCGCCGTTGTGTCGGCTGGATTCGCGCACAGCCTCGCCATCACCGCTGACGGCGCCGTCTGGAGCTGGGGCGGTGGATCCAACGGCAAGCTGGGCCACGGCGACCAGCAGAACCAGCTGGAGCCGATGGTTGTCGAGGCATTGGCGGGGCAGCGCGTCGTCGCTGTGTCGGCTGGAGCGTACCACAGCCTCGTCATCACCGCCGACGGCGCTGTCTGGAGCTGTGGCTGGGGATACTTTGGCAGGCTAGGCCACGGCGACGAGCACGACCGGCTGCTACCGAAGAAGGTCGAGGCATTCGCTGGCCAGCGCGTCGTCGCTGTGTCGGCTGGATGGTCGCACAGCCTCGCCATCACCGCCGACGGCGCCGTCTGGAGTTGGGGCTATGGACGCCAAGGCCGGTTGGGCCACGGCAACACGCAGAGCCAGCTGCTGCCGCAGCAGGTCGAGGCGTTGGCTGGCCAGCGCGTCGTCGCTGTGTCGGCTGGAGACAGCCACAGCCTCGCCCTCACCGCCAAGGGCGCCCTCTGGAGCTGGGGCGATGGAGGCTACTGTGGCCTGCTGGGCCACGGCGACGAGCAGGACCAGCTGCTGCCCAAGAAGGTCGAGGCCTTTGCAGGGCGGCGCGTCGTCGCTATCTCGTACTTTGGCCATGGGTCGGCCGGAGTCGCGCACAGCCTTGCCATCACCGCCGATGGCGCCGTCTGGAGCTGGGGCGATGGTGAGACCGGCTGCCTAGGCCACGGAGAGGACCTGACGAGCCAGTTGCTGCCCAAGAAGGTTGAGGCGTGGCCCGCATCTTCTTGACTCTCAGACAATCGAAAAGTGACAGAAAAGCGGGCCGCCGCAGGAGCCTGGCGCTGAGTGGGAGAGAATGCACCCAAAATGCTCTCGTGTGTCTGGGGTCTGCGTCTGGGGACGGGGGTGAGCCGCACATGCACATGCACATGCACATGCACATGTGCACGTATCATCGCCACACACAGGGACTACAGTCAGGTAGGTAGCAAGGAAAGACACGCGTGAACACCAACCCCCTCAAACCGTTCAAACTTATCGCGACCTTATACGCGCCGCGTTTCGACGCAAGTCCCTCGGCACCTCGACGCTCGAGTACCCGCTCCGCCTCCGCCCCCCATCCTCCATCCATGGGCGACAGCAAGGAAAGTCCGCTCGTGAGGGCGCGAAAAGAACTCGCACGCGCCCGCACCGCCTTGGCCACCACCGGCAGGGACCTGCCCGTCGACCAAGCGGCTGCAAAGAAGGCGCAACAGGCAATGCAGAGCCATCCCGGCCGCCGCCAGGAGCGGCTGGTCACGCCCCGGAGGGCGCGCCCGAGCGGGAAGTAAAAACGCGGCCTAAAAAGAATTCTAAAGGGCTGGGCACGGGACTGGCGCGCACTGGCACGTAAAAGAAAGGGAACGAGCCCACCCACGTCCCACGACGAGATACACCACACTTGGCTCCACCGTGGACACGTCCATAGCTGGGGACACTACTAGGTCACGCATACTCATTCTAAAACCCTGAAAAACGTACTCGAGTACTCGAGTACCCCAAAAGAAACCGCTGGCCGGCGCGCTGTATTTGTCCTCGCCGCTCTTTGCCTGGCGGCGCGCACACACCAGCCGTCGCCCTCCTGATGGTCGCTATCGCCCGCCCCAGCTCATCACGAGCGCAGAAGGCGCAACGGCGGCAGGAGGTGGCAGCGGCGGCCGCAGTGCAGGAGGCAGCGCTCGCGCAGCAGAGGGCTGCAGATCAGCTACTGCGTGGCCTCGAGGCACTGCCGTTCGCAGCGCTGCAGCCGCACACGGCACGGCTCCAGGCGCTGCTGGCGGTGTCGATGGGCGTCGGGACACGTGACGAAACGAGCGGGCCCGCGGGCGAGGGCGCACCGGCGTCGAACCCATTTTCCAACGTGGTGGGTGGCGGTGCGGGCCCGAAGCCCATATTCTCGTTTGGCGCGTCCGCTGGCGATTCTTCGGGCGGGCTCTACGGGAAAGCGCCGACGCCCGTGCCCGCTTTCGGTGGTTTCACCTTCGGTGGCGCAACGCTCGCCTCTGCGCCTCTGGCGGGTGGCCTCAGCGGCTTCGGGTTTTGCCCCGGCGCGGCACTGCCGCCGTCCGCTCGGTGGCCTTTTGGCGGCTTCCGCTTCAGCCACGGCGCGTCGCAACCGCCCGTCCGTGGCCTCTTCTCTTTCGGTGCCGCGCCCGCGCCCGCGCCCGCGCCGTCGCCGCCGCCGCCCGCTGGCGGCCTCGTCTTTGGTGCTGCGTCGGCATCCGCGCCGTCGCCGTCGTCAGCGCTGTCGCCGCCTGTGGTTGCGCCCTCGTCGTCGCTGTTCAGCTTCGGCGTGCCTGTGCCGGCGCCGCCACCACCGCTCACCACCGGCCTCGGTGTCGAGCAGCAGACGCAGCAGACGCAGCCGGAGCAGCAGCAGCAGCCGCCGCAGCAGCAGCAGCCGCAGCAGCAGCAGCAGCAGCAGCAGCAGCAGCAGCAGCCGCCGCCGCCACAGCAGCAGCAGCCGCAGCAGCAGCAGCCGCCGCCGCCGCCGCCGCCGCAGCAGCAGCAGCAGCAGCAGCAGCCGCGGCAGCCGTCGCAGCCGTCGCAGCCGTCGCCAGCCGCCTCGGGCGACCCTAAACCGGCGTCGCTGCGCGCGTGGGTCGAGCGCGCCTTCGCACAGTGCAGGAGCGACCTCGAGCGCGGCGTCGTGGGTGAGCATGATCCCCCCTCCCTCCTGCCCCCTCCTCGCCCCTCCTTCCCCTTCCCAGCATCCCCCGCCGCCAACTTCCCCTCCCCACTCCCCTCACCCCCTCCCCACTCCCCTCACCCCCTCACCCCCCCCCTCCCCCCCTCCACCCCTGCCTAAAAGGCGAGCACCTCCGCAAGACGATCCAGGCGGTCGACGTGTGGACGCACGACTGGGAGAGAGAGCCCCTCCCCCCGCGCAAGAAGGAGCTCTGGCTCCCCGTCTCCTCCGGCCTCTCTTCCGGCCGCGACGAGCAGCGCGCACCCTCCGGCCCGCAGCTCGGTGGCAAGAAGAAGCCCGCCGCTTCTGGCGGTGTGTTCAGCTTTGGCGGCATGGCCAACGCTCTCCCACCTTCCCCGCCGCCCGTGGAAACGGCCTCCGCCCCGCCCGCGCCGCGGAGTGAGCTTTGGTGGGAAAAGGAGCCGTTGCTGCCCATGCCACCCCACTTCCGTGCGGGCCCGAGCACGCCGCCTCCGCCTCCGCCCTCGCCCATGGAGAATGTCCTGAGCGACCCGTTCCTGCTCGGCTTGATCCTGTACTGCAACGGCGCCCTCGCCCCGAGCGAGTCGAACTACTACTACTTGCTCGGGTATGGCCACGCCCCAAACGGCCGCGACGAGCACCAGCAGCGATGGGCTTACTGGAAGGTAGAGCTGATGCGCCACAACCGCCGACACGCCGAGCAATGCCTGCGCGACTTCCGCGACAAGGCCTCTCCCATGCTCGTCTGCAAGTCATGGCACGCCTTTAGTGCGGGGGAGGAGGGCGTGCGCACGTGGAAGGCCATCGAGAGTGCGCGGCAGCAGGCGAGGCTGCGCGCTGCGCGCGTCGCCGCCGCAGATGGCCAGGTTCCTTGGTTGTACCGGCTCTGCGCGATGGCGATGGTCAACGATCTGGCCGGCTTGCGGTCCGCCTTTGGCCGCAGCGTGGGGGAGCCGGGCGACGCTCTGCGGTGCGCCGCAGCCGCTATCGACGAGGATTACTGGTACGAGATGCACGACGATGGCGACGACGCGGCGATCGCTGCCGATGCCGAGGAGATCCCCGCCGGGCACCCGTTTGCCGCGCGGACCGAGGCGCGCGTCCGGGTCGGCATGTATGAGCACCGCACGCAGCACGCCCGCGCTTTCTTCGAGCCGAGGAGCACCATCGGCACGCAGCACGCAGCACACGGCCAGAACGCCGTAGTGGCCGTGTGCGCGCTCAACGCGGCGTGCGGCGGCGCCACCGACGCCGTCCGCTTCTGCATCGACTTCTTGCAAGCGGAGTTTGGAGGGATGAGCTGGAACTACCCGTTCAGCGACAAGTCGGGCGGCACGGTGCTGAGCCTTGCCGTCGAGTACGCGTGCCACTACGCGTGTTTGGAGGAGCCAGTGCGTGGCGTGGCCGCCTTGCTGCAGGCGGCCTCGAAGGACCGGCGGAGTTGGCCGTCGAAGCTCTACTCGCACATCCTGTGGGGCTCGCACGGCAACGGGCTGCACCAGGCGGCCGCCCGCGGGCACTTGCCTCTTGTCAAGGCGCTCGTGCACGGCGGCCTCGACCCGACGCGACCCGTCCACTTCCGCTACGGCGACAGCCGTGACGGAGCGGCGACCGAGGCGCCGCTGCCGCAGCATTGGGCGGCGGCGCATGGCCACGACGCGGTGGCAGCGCTGCTCTCTGGTGAAGTCAAGAAGCTGCGCCCCGACATCACAAAGGGCGAGCCGGGCCAGCACTATCGAGGGTGCGACCCCCCACACCCTGGCGTGTCCGCGCGTTGCCCGTTGCGCCGCTCACCCCCCCCCCCCCCTAGCAGGCACCTCTCCTATTTCGACACGCGGCAGAACAAGCTCTTTGGCTTCATCGAGCCCGACCCACAGCAAGGGCTGGGCAAGTCGGCCTTTGTCCACCTGGAGAAGCTGCGCGACCACTCCTCGCGCGACGAGGGCCAGGCGCGGCTCTGTGTGTGCGGGAGTTGGTTTTGCGGGGAGAGGGGGGGGGGGGGGGGGGGCAGGCTGCTCACCTACCTGCACTGGGCCTTGCACAGTGAATGGGCCGTGTGCCCGGGTGTGGAGATGCGAGGGTTGCCTGGCCCTTGCCCCACCACTGTGTGTGTGCGTGGAGAATTTACCTTCCCTTCCCTTCCCTTAGGGCTACCCGCGACCAGGCCAGCGCCTCATCTTTGGCGTCAGCTACGACCGGCAGGGTCGCGCACGCGCCACGTGGGTCGCAGATGAGGACCGCAGCTACGTGCGGCTGCCTCTGCGGGACGAGCGAGTGGCGAGCGCGCACTGGAGGCGGTGGCGCGAGGCGGACCGGGACAGCAGCGACGAAGGGTGGGACATCGGCCTGGACGATGACGAGTATTATTAGCGGATTCGCGGGCGCTGGGTTTTCTGAAGAAAAAAGGGGTCTTCCCTCGCGGGGCACTTGGAGCACTTGGAGTGCAGCACTTGGAGCACTTGGAGTGCAGTCATTAACCGCGCACATCCAGGGCCGGGAGCTGGGCGGGGCCGGTGAATTCTCTGCGATTTGGAGCACTTGGAGTGCAGCTATGGTAAAATTCTTTTCTCGCGAGCACCGTAAGAAGCTACTACGTTATATTTATAGCCAGCGCGCCTTTTGCTTTTTGTTCGGCCAAGCGGGGGCGAATCGCGCGCTGTATTTGCACAGCAGCGGCCGCACGTCCCTCCTCTAGCAGTCGGCCAGAGCTCCTGGCTGTGAGGCTTTGGACTCGGACCGCCTTTGCACCAAGCTCCTTGGCCAGCATGGCCGCACACACCTCCTCGTGTCGTCCGGCGATGTAGTCGACGGCCACCGACTTGTAGAGCCCGGCCACGACAAGCTCGCGTGGCGTCGACTCCAAAATGTGTTGAAAAGGGCAGCTGTCGACGTCGTGAATTAGCACAAACCGGACCTCAGAGCGTAGGATGGCCATCAGCTCGTCAGCGAGAGCCTCACCGTTTGCATCCATGTTCCTGCTGCTCAAGGAGTCGCCGAGTTGATTCTTGCGGATCGCTCCATCGACGCCTAGCGTGAAGGTGTCCTTGCGAAGAAGGACGATGAGGAATTTGCTCTCAGGGAGGCTGTCTGTGCTTCCCTCGCGAGATAGCTGCCTAACTTCGTCTATCTCCCTCACTTCGACCTGGGATGACGTCCAGGCGAGATGGCGCACCAATGACGTGACGACCTCTCCGGCGCCCGGGTTCGACTTGCTCAGCTCACTCGCGTCGTCTTGTTTATTTTTCAGAACTCTTTTTCAGCGGAGATCGACTGCCTCGTGATACAATGGTGGTTGCCAGCGCGGCGGCGCCTCGGGTGGTCTCCATCCTCGTCGCCGCCGTCGCCGCCGAGTGGGCGCGCAAGGCTGCGCTGTACCCGCTCGACACGCTCACCACCCGCCTGCAGTACTCGCGCCGGCCAGTACTCCTCTCGGCTCCGAGCGACATCACGGTGCTGCCCGGCCGCCGCCTCAGCCCGCCGCATGCCCAGCCGAGCCGCGGCACACGCACGGCCATTGCACGTCCCACGGCGCCGCGGTGCCTCGCACGCCCACGCCTTCTCGCCGCATCAGCCCGCGGCGGGTCGCCGCCGCCAGCTTCCCGACATAGCGGCGGTCCTGACTTGGCCTTCCGTGTCGCCGCGCCGCCGCAGGCGAAGCGCGTGTCGCAGCTGGAGCAGGCGCGCGAGGTGATCCGCGACGGCGGAGGCCCGCTCTCTCTCTACCAAGGCCTCTCGACCCACCCGCTGCGCTTGCTCCTGTCGACGACGCGTCCCTGACGCGTCCCCGGAACGTCCAAGGCCTCTCGACCCAGCTGGTCGGCGTCGTGCCGACGTCGCTCGTGTACATGCCGACGTACGAGGCCGTCTCGCGCCTCGCTCGCGCAGTCGACGGAGCGCAGTGGGGCCTCCCCGCGGCGCTACCCGCCTCTCAGCTCGCATCGGTCGCCACCGGCGTCGCCTCGTCGTGCGTTCGCGTCCCGATCTCGGTCGTCAAGGCGCGACACTTCCTAGACACTTCCTAGACACTTCCTCCCGATCTCGGTCGTCAAGGCGCGACACTTCCTAGACACTTCTTAGACACTTCCTCCCGATCTCGGTCGTCAAGGCGCGACACTTCCTAGACACTTCCTAGACACTTCCTCCCGATCTCGGTCGTCAAGGCGCGACACTTCCTAGACACTTCTTAGACACTTCCTCCCGATCTCGGTCGTCAAGGCGCGACACTTCCTAGACACTTCCTAGACACTTCCTCCCGATCTCGGTCGCATAGGCGCGGGTCGCGAGCGCCAGCAGGCGAGCGGCGAGGAGGAAGCGACGCGTCTCTTCACCGCTCGTTGCGTGAGCAGGCTCGGCTGCAGCTCGGCCTGTCGCCGAACGCCGCGCACGCCGTACGCACCGCCCTCGCCACCTCGGGATGGCGAGGGGCTCTGCGCGGGCCGGGGCTCTCTCCTCCCCGTGGCCTGACTCAGTCTGCCCCTTTCGGCGTAGGAGAGGGCTGTACGCGGGGTGGGGCGCCACGTGCGCGCTGGACGTGTCGTACGCGCTCGTCCAGTTTACCGCGCTGGAGTGGATCCGCGCTCTCTCGACCTCGGTGGGGCCACGTCGCTCTCCCCATGTCGCGCGGGACGCCTCTCTCAGCCTTCCTCGGGACCGCCCCGCAGGTCGTCGGCCGCCCGCTCACCACGCGCGAGAATGCGCTTGTGGGCTTCGCCGTCGGCGTCATCACTTCGGCGCCGGCGGAGCCGCTCGACGCCGTCCGAGAAGTGTCTACGAACCTTCCCGGCTCCCTCCCGCAGGTGGCGACGGAGCCACTCGATGTGGTCAAGACGCGACTGATGGGGCAGCGCTCGCGCCGGCCGGCGGCGGCGGCGCAGGCGGCGGCGCAGCAGCGGCAGCAGCAGCAGCGGGCGGGCGGCGGCGATGGCGGCGGCGGCAGTGATGGCGGCGGCGGCGGCGGCGGCGGCGGCGGTGGCGGCGGCGGGACGCGGCAGCGGCGGCTGGGTGGACGGCGCGGGTCTGCGGAGGGGTGCGGTGTGGTCGGCGAGCGAGCAAAGGACTTTGGGTACACGGGGCTGATGCACGGGCTACGCCGCATCGTCCAGCAGGAGACGCTTCCTAGACACCTCCTGGACACCTCCTGGACACCTCCTGGACACCTCCTGGACACCTCCTGGACACCTCCTGGACACCTCCTGGACACCTCCTGGACACCTCCTGGACACGTCCTAGACACACCTCCTGGACACCTCCTGGACACCTCCTGGACACCTCCTGGACACCTCCTGGACACCTCCTGGACACGTCCTAGACACACCTCCTGGACACCTCCTGGACACCTCCTGGACACCTCCTGCCCCCCTACGCCGCATCGTCCAGCGGGAAAGGCCAGGGCGCGGACAGTTTGGGAGGAGAGTTTCGGTGGAGAGTTTGGGCCGCGATTCAGCCGCGACTCAGCCGCGCTCTGGGATGGGTCTTGGCTTGGGCTCTCGGCGGCGTCTCTTCACGCCGGGGGGGGCTGTGAACAGGAGGGCGCGCTCGCGCTCTGGCGCGGGCTGCTGCCGCGGCTGCTGCTGAAGTCGTTTGGCTCGATGATCTGGTGGGCCGCCGAGATCCGGCCGAGATCGTCCGAGGTCTGGCCGAGATTCAGCCCGTCTCAAGCCGAGGCCGAGTTCGCCCGCCCTGCCTTGCGGTGCAGGTACCCGGTCTACATGTTTGTGCTGCGCGTCATGGCGCCGGTCTCGGCGTGAGAGCTGTTGCGCGCGCAGCTGCCGCTCGGCGCCGCCCCTCTTTCTGCTGGCCGTGGTCAGACACACAACGTCAACTCGAACACACATCTCATGCAGACGCTCTTTCTCGATAGCCGCGCTGGCCGATGGATGAGCGGCTCCGTACCCTGCCGCCACGTCGCGCGCGCTGTCAGCATGTGTATGGTGTGTATCGCGTTCGGCGCGGTGGAACCCACGCAAGCGTGACGAGTGCAAAACCACATGCATCAGCTTCAGGCCACCTCACAAAAATCTTGAAGGTGCCGACGGTCGCAGTCTCCAGTCTGCCGGCGTGGCGCGCCGCTGCGAGCGAGAGCCACAGTCCGCAAACACGCATACTAAGCGCGATACACCGCACATCTAAGATGTAAGAACTATATATCGCGATCAGACATTGGCAATTTGCCAAATGGTCCGTGGAGCGTATCGGGTATCGCGGTCGCCTTAACGTAACATCGATGTACTGGAAACAGAGAGCGAAGCGAGCGAGCGAGAGGTTCCAGAGAGAGCACGCGCGCACGGGGAGGAGAGACAGCCACTGGCGCCGCCGAGAGAAGAGAGGAACGAAGAAGACGACGATGAATAAAGGTTGCGGCTTGCGCTGGCCACCGCCTGGGCTGTCCCTCAGCTCGCGCCTCCCGCCCGCCTGCGGAGCCGCTGAGCGAGAAACTCCGCCTTGGACGCCGCGTCTTGCTCTGCGCGCCTCGCGCTCTCCGTCGCCGCAGCAGCCGCGGCAGCCTCCGCCTCGGCGGCAAGCAGCGCCTCCTCTGTTTCACTCGCTTCGCGTGCCGCGGCATCCAGCCTCGCCCGGGCTGCAACCTCCGCCGCCCTCGCTTTCTCCTGTTGCCTTGCCAGGAACTCCGCCTTTGACGTGGCGTCGCGCTCGGCGCGCCTCGCCGCCGCCGTCGCCTGCGCGGCGGCAGCCGCCGCCGCCTCGGCCGCAGAGAGCGCCTCCTCCGTCTCGGCGAGAACGCGTGTGGCCTGCACCGTCTCCACCCTCGCAGCCTCCTCGGCGGCCTTCGCCTTCTCCTGCTGCCGTGCAATGAACGCATCCTCCGCAGGCTGGACCGGCTTGAGGACTGCACGGGCTCGAGGAGAGCACGCCGCAGGCTCGTGCCCGCACAGCGGCGGTTGCGTGAAGGCAGCCACCCAAATGAAGTCGAGAGCGATCATCATCATCGGCGCCGAAATTTGCCGGCGTCAAAAGCGACAGCGTCACTCAGCACAACACCGGGCACGGGACCCTGGCGCACGGGACTAACGCGCCCACTGGCACTAACACAGGTACACCAAGAAAAAAGAATTTCCCTCACGCGCACGGGACTGGCGCGCACTGGCACTAGCACAGAAAAAAGAATTTAGAACCACAAACTCTTAGGGAAATAATATGTATGGTTCTTGCACTTGTGCAAGATTGGGCGTCTTCTGCCGCAGTCCCTTTGATGGGAGGCCCCAGGGTGGGGGCCACCTCGAACCCCCGGCCAGGGATTCGAGCGGAGGGTGCCCCGGATTCATCTATCCGTTGGGCCCCGGTACATTCATTAGAACTGATCACTTTGCGCAGCAGCCGTCCCTTCGCCGACTGGACGGCAGTGCGCTGCGTTGTCGCTCTGTCGTGCACGCTCTCGTGCCTCGTTGTTGTGACACGGGAGTAGAGTCGAGAGGTAGTCCTCGACGAGACGACCGGCGCTGCGATGCCAGCCCTCGCTGCCGCCGAGCTCAGCATTCCGGCCGAGCAGCACCCCGATCCCGCAAAGCCACTGGTGATACCCGTCGACTCAACAGTGGTGGGCTCTACCCTGCGCTTCATTCCGTGGTCTGTGGTGGGCAATCCGGCCTTCCTCAATCTGCCCCCTCCTCCTCCAGGGATGCAACTTGTGCAAGATTGGGCGTCTTCTGCCGCAGTCCCTTTGATGGGAGGCCCCAGGGTGGGGGCCACCTCGAACCCCCGGCCAGGGATTCGAGCGGAGGGTGCCCCGGATTCATCTATCCGTTGGGCCCCGGTACATTCATTAGAACTGATCACTTTGCGCAGCAGCCGTCCCCTTCGCCGACTGGACGGCAGTGCGCTGTTGTCGCTCTGTCGTGCACGCTCTCGTGCCTCGTTGTTGTGACCCACCCTGTCCCACCCGTGTGTGATCAGTGTCTACGGAGGGAGTGTCTTCGGCTCACGCCAGGGCGCTCGTTGCTCCTCCGTCTCTTTGTATCTGACGCGTCGTGTCCTCGGCAATGGCGTTCGCGGCAGTCCAACCCAACAGATGGTGGAGAATCTTCCTGCCCTGCGCAGTGACGCTGACCGGCCTTGGGACCTTCTACTTTGGGCTGGGCTCCATGATCGAGTATCTGACGCAGGCGGGATTTGGCAATCCAACTCAGTCCGCAGCGATCGTCTCCGAGGTGTCCTCGCTGCGCGCGCTCTGCATGCTCCTCTTCAACTTATCCGCCGGGTCCTACTTCTCGTCCGGCCCACCCTTTCGCTGGCTCCTCCTCGGGTACCTCTCCGTCGTCCTGAGCTGCGTGCTCGCCGTCGTTTCCGTCTACACCCGCCATGCCTGGATCTACTGGCTCGGTTTCGGCCCCGTGCTCGGCGTCGGCACTGCGATCGCCTACACGATATCGTACCAGATTGCGATGGTAACACTAACCCTAACCCTCACCCTAACCTCTAACCCCTACTAACTCCTACCCCCAATCCCTAACCTCTGACGCCTAAATCCTAACCCTAACCTGAAGCCCTAGACCCTGACCCCGATCCTGACCCTGACCCTGACCCTGACCCTGACCCTGACCCTGACCCTGACCCTGACCCTAACCTCAACCCCAACCCTAACCCTAACCCTAACCCTATCTCAGGCGTGGTTCCCCGACCGCCGCGGCCTTGTCGCTGGCATGCTCGGAAGCTGCATCAACCTCGGAGGGGTGCTATTCGAACTCGCCGCGGGGCGGCTCTACCCATTCGGGGCGGTCGTCGGGACGGGCGCGCTCACGGTCGCGGTCACCGTCGCCTTCTTCCCGTCGCTTCTGCTGCACCACCCAACACCGCCACCGGCAGCCGTGGCGAATCATCGCGCAAATGGTACCACTACGGCCCCCTGCAGCGGTGGAGGGATCACGGCGAGAATAGCCACGACCACGACCACGACGCCCACTTCTGCAACGGCGGTCGACGAACAGACATGCGACGTCGAGTTAGGGGAGGCACGTGGCGGCGGGCTGGCGGTGACAGAAGGCGCTGGAAAGACTGCAGAACCCGCGCCACCACCCGCTGCTGCGCAGCCGAAGCCATCGGCGGCGGCGATGAAGTGCGTGGAATGCGACGTTGAATTAGGGAACGCCCGCGGCGGCAGTGTAACGGTAGGGGCTGCACCTGCGCCGCCGCCGCCGCCGCCGCCGGTGGCGATGCGGGACGTGCTTCGGACCCGCCAGCTCTGGCTTTGCCTCGCGGTGATCGTGCTCGGGCTGCTGCCCGGCTTCGGGACGCTCAGCGTGCAGAACGTGCTCTACGTTGGCGTGCTGCAGGGCGTGACCAAAGCCGACGCGGCGCAGTACGCGGTATAGCCCCGTTCCTAACCCGTAATCCTAAAATGTGACCCTAACCGTAACCGGAACCCTAACCCTATTCCTACCCCTATCCCAACTAACGCTATTCCTGAACCGATTCCTAACCAGATTCCTGACCCGTTTCCTGACCCACAATTCCTGATCTGACCCTATTCCTGACCCTATTCCCAACTGACCCCCAACTAACCCCCAACTGACCCGATTCCTGACCCGATTCCTGACCGTCACCGACACCCTCATCCGAGCAGGCGATCCTCGTCGCCGTCATCCTCGTCACCCGGCCGCTCCTCGCGCTCCCTGCCGACAAGATGAACCTCGCGACGCGGGTGGTATCCGAGGTTGCTGCACCTGGCTTCCTTCCCGCTGCTTGGGTTGAAACCGCACTGCAGCGATGGCCCATGCCGGCCAGGGGCTCCCTCCCATCTCCTAAAATCGTGCACGTCCCATGCCGACGGGTTGAAGCCAGCGCGCGCGATCGGCCCGAGCAAAAGATGGGCGTGGCAATGGGCCGCCGACAGGAAGGACAGGATGCTCACAACACCGAGGAGTGAGTCGTCGTCAATCTTCGCAACGTGTCGTACCGCGCTGCCTTCGACGAGCCGCCACGCCTGCCGCCACCAGAAGAACGCCTTTTCAACAAGCATGAACTGACTGCAGCCGTCGCGCGCTTGCCTCAGCCAGACAATGTCGTTGTGCGCTCGCTCCTCCTCGTCCACGGAGTCAACTTTCCACTTGGCTGGTCCTCGCCGACCGACAGCAAAGCACACAAGACTGCTGGAAGATTTCCGCGCCCAGGTGTCCCGCGCCGCGTCGCGGCGGTCCTTCCTTTCGGGCGTGCTCATCACGCCCACGAGCAGCCGCACCGACGTGCCCTGCAGGCTCGGTGCACTGCACGAGGCGACCGATTCAAGAATTTCGTGGCCGGGGGATTCGGCCGGCGGCTGCTTGCACAAAGCTGCCGCCCGTGCTGATGAGAGCGTCGGCGTTGCTCCCACCTTGCGCTGGGTGCCGTTGAAGGGCTGCAGGAACGGGTCGGAGAGATTCACGCGGTATGGGTGGGGCTCACATCCAGGCCTCCGCGATGGCATCGGAAGCCCTCGGAGAGTGACGGTCAGCCCGCCCCGGCTCTCGACAAGTGCGATCGCCGACGCTGCGCCTTCGCCGGACGCGTCTCTCGGGGGCACGCATCAGAGGACACTGGACAGTGGACGCGGCGGGGGACGCGCGACACGTGGATTTTCGCGCGAGTTTTGCACCGCCACATCCCCCTGGCCCATCCCCCACCCCTACCACCCACCCACCACGAGTACAAGCCCCGCCTCGCGCGCTGTTTTTCTTGTATATTCCTCTGGCCTCCTGGCTGACACAGGCGTCGCTGGCGGGCAACATGACCGTCAACGCTGCCGGAGGCGAGGCCGCTGGCATCCCGTCCGAGGGCAAGCCCGCTTCGCTCGAGGACGTCATCGGCAACGGCAATGACGTCCCGTCCGAGTCGGCGCCGACGGCTCCTGTCGGCATCACGTCGCTGTCGCCTTCGCTCCTCGGAGCCGAGGTGAGTGTGCGCACGCCAGCATTGTCATCATCTCTACGGCCTCCCTGTCTCCGCACACTTGCGTGTTCTCCCCTCACCCAGGCGTGCGGCGCCGAGGAGGCCGCCACCGAGGAGTCCGCCGCCAAGTCCGCCGCCGCCGAGGAGTCCGCCACCAAGTCCGCCGCCACCGAGGAGGCCGCCGCCACCGAGGAGTCTGCCACCGAGGAGGCCGCCAAGTCCGCCGCCGCCGAGGTGTCCGCCGCCGCGGAGGCAGTCGCCGAGGAGGCGCCCGTCGCCGAGGTGGCCGTCGCCAAGGAGGCTGCAAAGGAGGTCGAGAAGCCGGCCAAGACCGTTTCCAAGCCGCCCGACCCAGCGGTGGTGAGCGCGCCGCAGCATTCTCTCCGGCCACTCCTCGCTCTCCCACCGGTAATAATCTCCCTTCCCGTGTGCCCCTATCGCGCTTTGCAGGACACCGCCTGCTACCCGGGCCTGCCCACGCCGACGGCGGTGGGGGAGAGCGAGCCTGCGCCGGCCCGCAGCTCCGGACCGGGCTACGTGGGCGGCGTCGAGGCCGAAGTCCGCCGGCTGGGCGAGAGCGTCGTCTACCAGGCTACGCCCGCCGACGGCAAGAAGTCGCCGTCGCCGGGAGTCCCCACCTCCGGCGGCATTGCGCCCGTGGCGCCCAAGCCCCTTGGCGCGGTCGCGGGCGCGGGGCAGGCCGACGCCGCGTCACGCGAGTACTATCTCGCCGTGCGCGACAAGGCGCTGGCCGCGATCTTGCTCACCAAGATACAGCGGGCGAAGCTGGACGCCGAGCGGTCGGCGTGCGGGTGCAAGTGCCGGCGCAAGGCCATGCGCTGCCGCAACAACCCCACGTTTGGCAAGGGCAGGCGCAAGTCTGGCAAGGCAGGGGGCAGGCGCAAGTCTGGCAAGGCAAAGGGCCGCGGCCGCGGCTCGCACCGGCGACCGAAACCGCGCGGCGGGCCGCAGACGCCGCCTTGCAAGTCGCCGGACCGGCGCCGCGAGCCGCAGCCCGCGTCCGGCAAGGCGCCATTCGCCGCTGGCACGTGCGGCGCCGGCGGTCGCGCCGGCCTCAAGGCGGCGGCCGACTGCGTGCAGGGCGGCTACACGAAGGCCGAGGGCGCCTTCTGGTGGCTGCTCCTCGTCTGCATGCCCGCCTTTGGCCACTGCGCGTCCGCCGTGCCTAGCCCGACGGCGGTGGCCTCGGCCTTCTCGTCTGCCGTCGCCTCGGCGTCCTCGGCCTTCTCATCCGGCGTCGCCTCGGCGGCGTCCTCGGCCTTCTCGCCCGCCGTCGCCTCGAAGGCGTCCTCGCTCGTGAGCTGCTCGCCGCTTCTCGTGCCCGCCCTCGTGCTCATCCTCCTCGCCATCGCTTGCGGCGCCTCCTGGCCGACCGCGGCGAGCGGAAAGGGGGCTCGGCGCGGCGTGGCGTGCGCCGCCTGCCTCACCGCCGCCATCGCGTGCCTCCCTGGCGCAGCAGCGGCTCCCGCGGAATCCTCCGCGTCGAGCACCACCTTCTCGTGGTTCACGGAGGGTGGTGCGATACCTCTGTCCTTCCTCTTCGCCGTGAGCGTGTTTGCTGCCACGGCCGACCTCGTGCTCCGGCAGCTGCTCGAGATCGGGTTGGCGGAGCGGCGCGCTGCGAAGATCATGCAGCGCGTCTCGCGCGGGCTGATGGCGCGCAAAAAGGTGGCCGTGAAGGAGGAGGCCGCCAACGAGGATACCACCACCGAGGAGTCCGCCGCCAAGTCCGCCGCCGCCGAGGAGTCCGCCGCCGAGGAGTCCGCCGCCGAGGAGTCCGCCACCAAGTCCGCCGCCACCGAGGAGGCCGCCGCCACCGAGGAGGCCGCCACCGAGAAGGCGACCGTCAAGTCCGCCGCCGGCGAGGTGTCCGCCGCCGCGGAGGCGTCCTCTGCCTCCGCCTGGTTCTCGTGGCCCAAGTTCTGCTCGGCATCGAAGCTACTGTGCATCGTCTTCACCTCGATCGTGGTGCTTGGTCTGTGCTGCTCGGCCTTCGCCTCCTCGTACTCTAACGGCGTCTCCGAGCTCCTCAACTCGGTGTACGTGCCGGACGTGGCCGCACGCCGCCACCGCTGCCGACCTGAAATCTCTGGCGCGGGCTGCGGCACGCAATTTGAGCAGCATCCTCATGGCGCAGGTGAGTTGATGTACGGGCCACCAAAGCATCGGCAGCGCTACACGTTTGGCACGGCCATTAATGTGAGCGCGACGCGTGGAGCCGGCCATCTTTCGCACAGCGCGTTGCAGGACTTTGCCCGACGGTATGCGTCGACGTATTCGAGCGCGGATCCGTACAAGCACATTGTGATCGACAATCTCGTGCCCGAGGCGTTGGCACATGCTTGCATGAAGGAGCTTCAGGCGAAGCACTACTTGCCATCTTCCTCCACATCTGGCGCCTCCAGTTTCTGGAAATCGCGGAGCACTCCAATGGGCGCGAAGCGAGGCCGTGGTGGCTACCCAGAAAACACGCAGGCCGAGGTGTTTGGGCCTAGCACTGTGAGACTCTTCGATTTCTTCCAGTCGAGGCGCTTCGTTGCCTTCCTCGAGACACTGACCGGCATCCGCAATTTGACGGCCGATAGCCGAATGATTGGAGGTGGCCCCTTCTCGATTGTTAAGGGCGGTTTCCTCTCGCTGCACACCGACTTCAACAAGCACCAGACCTGCCAAAAGGGGTTGTTGCCCATTCCCAACAACGAGCCAATCCCTGGCTGCAGGGTGGTCACACCAGGCTGGCGACGCCTAAATTTGCTAATGTACCTGAACGAGGGCTGGCGCGAGGAGTGGGGAGGCTCCTTTGAGTTGTGGGAGACCGACCCGCGCTACTCGTTCCTTCAATATTCAAAAAAAGTTCTGCCTTTGCTCAATCGGATCGCCATCTTCTCGGTTACTGACGTCTCCATTCACGGCCATCTCGACTCGGTCAATCACCCGCACGGCGAGGCCCGAAAGTCGCTATCATTCTACTATTACACCCCCACGATCGACGACGAGCCCCTGATTACACCGTTGCTTCACGAGTCCATCTACATGCCCGGCCACGCAGCCCTCCGCTCAGTGGAACGATGGCGCACAATGGTGCCTAAGTATACCGTCCGCTAAGACTGTCCTCGCGCGCGCATGCTACGCCAGAGGGGCGGACGACCAAGGCAGTCCTCTCCGCCCTTCTGGACTCCCTTCCGAAGCCCGGGGGGAGGGGGAGGGGGCAAACCCACTTGGCAGGAGCCTCCTCTCAACTGGGCGGAGGGGAAAGATTTACGCGAGGTTCTCTGTACCCAAGCTTCCCTACTTAGGCGGCTCCCGTGGTGTACCTGTGTTAGTGCCAGTGCGCGCCAGTCCCGTGCCCAGTGTCGTGCGAGGGAGTTTAGTTGTAAGATTCTCTGTACGGCTCTACCCAAGCTTCCCTACATATATGTTTTTGTACTCTTTGCTGGCGCCGACCGCTTAAAAAGTGGGTGCTCTACGTTTGAGTATGGAGCAGCTCTGGCGCGCAAAAACTCTCAGTCTCCACGCATCACGGATGCGACACGCCGCGCTGCCTTTTCAGACCTTTGCGTCAGAAAGCTCCACGCATGGTGCTCGCTCGAACGTGGCGTGAGCCATGCAAGCATTTGCGCGCCTTGTCGTAGATCAGTTCCGCAAGTTGCGGCGGCAGCTTGTGACGAGGGACTGTATCCTTAAGATACGCGCGCACGGGCGTGGGTGGGTAAAAAGCCGCCACCCTCGCCTCACCCTCGCCCCCCCCCCCCCCGCCCAGCCGTTTTCCCGCCGCCCAATGCTCCGCCGTTCGCTGCCGTGGTCTGCCGTCGTGCCGCCGTTCCTTACCGTGCCGCTCCTTCCTCCGTGCCGCGCCGCCCTTGCCGTTTAGCCCGCCGTCCCCCCTGCCGTCCGTTACCGCCGTGCCGCCATACCGCCGCTCCTACAGTGCCGCGCCCGCCGTGCCGTTCTCCCCTTTCTCCCAGTAAGCTAAAAGTACACTGAGAAAACGGGCCACTTTGCGGGGTTTGCGGTACGTCCTCCTCGATCTCGCCGCCGCCGTCGCCGCCAGAGTCCGGCGGCAGCCCGTCGGCGGTGATGACGAGCTTCGACGACAACAACGATGGCGTCATTGACGCGAAAGACGCTGTCGACGTCGCCGAGGACATTGCCAAGAAGACGGCGGCGGAGCGGGAGGCCCAAAAGGAGGCCACAAGGGAGCGCAAGATCTCTCAGGTCTTTCGGAGGTTTGCGATGGTGCTGGTGCTCGCGCTGCTAGCCTCGGTCGGCATCAATGCGGGCCTGACAGCAGCGGTCGTCTATGCTGTTAAGGACACCGAGGTTGACGGCGTCCTGCTTGTCTCGTCCGACACCGGCGACGTGCTCAAGGTGAGGTCGAATCGGTGCAGGCGTGCAGCTGTTGGAGGACCAGGCGGCCTTCTGGTGGCGGCGTCCGGCGAGTGCGGTGCGCGGGCTCGGCGTGAGGTGGCGCAGCCCTGGACGAGGTGGGACGGCGGACGTGGGGGGGAGAGAGAGAGACGTGGGAGCAGGATGGAGAGAGATGCGCAGTAGTGGGTGGGCCGCCTTCTAGTGGTCGGCGAGGCCGTGGCCAGTGCCCCGGCCCTGCGGCGCCGCCTAGTGAGTGAGTGCTCGCCGACCCTCCCCACACTAAGTCGTCATCTCGGTGCTGTGTCCAAGACCTGGCGAAGGCTCCAGCGGGCACGGGAGTCATGCGCACGGAAAAGAATGGGGCGAGCAGGCCGCCTGCGATTGAGATACATGCACAACAACATGCACAACGACAACAACAACACATGTACATGTGCATGTGCATGTGTGTGTATGGCGTCGACAGAGTGTGGCGTCGATAGAGCGTCGGGCAATGACAGAAACGGTCCAAGCCACCCGTGCGGCGAGGAAATACCTGACTTTCCCGACCGGCTACGCGCGGCGGGCATCGCCGAGGAAGACTTCAAGAACGTGATGCAGAAGTGCATCGATGCGGAGTACTGCAAAATAGCCACGCTGCCGTGCACCATCGCGACCGGCGGCCTTGGAGTGGTCTTCTTCTGTATACCGGATGTCCCCTGCGACCCGAATAGAGGCATGCGTGAGTTCAACGAAAAGTACGAGCCGCAGGGCATCAAGTGCGAAAGGCCTATGATTCAGGGCTGAGTCTTTAATTTCGTTGTGCCGGCGCAGGCAGCTTCGCAGGCTGTCGTGGTGGCCGCTGCGCCCGTGCCTGTGCACATCGCGCGAGATGCCGATCCGGCAGAGAAGCTAGCGCAGCTCAAGTCCTTGTTGGAGAAGGAATTGATCACGCAAGTGGACGACTACGAGGAAAAGAAGGCGCAGATCCTCGCGGGCATGTAGTGCGTCGTGGTCGGGATGTTGGCTCAGAGAGGTGCCGAGGTCGACGCGAAGGGCGGAGGCAGGTCAGAAGTCAGGTTTGCGAACTTCAGTTTTTTCTCGAATTGTCCCAGGCTGCCGTCGGCATACGGCAACGGAGACGGGGTTGAAGCCATACTGGATGGCGGCCACTCGGGCGACGCTCGCGAGGTAGACGCCGCAGCGGGCCGCATCGGCGAGAGAGTGAGAGAGAGCGACTCAAGGAGACGTAAGCGTAACACGAAAAGAAGGAAATATCGACCGCAACACCTCAAGGGACTAACACGATCCTGCAAAAGGGAGCGCGAATGCACTAAGGTGGCTACGCCTCATCCTGCAAAAGGGAGCGTAGAGGGGTGAGTCCTGCAGAGGAGGTGTGAAGACGCGAAGCGTGGGTTATGAACAGAGGAGAAGGCCAGTGCGCGCTATGAACAGAGTGAGTGTGCTGGGCGCTGGGAGTGAGAGGATGTTCCTGATGCCGCTAAGTCTGCCGCTACCCGCTCCGTCCTACAACTCGTCTCGCTCGCGGCCGCCGGCCACGCCTCCATCCTCTCCCCGCAGCAGCGCCTCCCACCGACCAGAGGCCTCTGCGCCGCCCCACCGGCGGAGCGGTGTTGTGCGCCCCCGCTCGCCCCGCTCGTAGGGTGCCACGCGCACGACGCCGTGCTCGCCCATCAGCCAGAGCACCATGTTGGTCCGCTCGCCCTGCTGGATCGGCTCTGCGGCGTGGTAATGCCCACCCAAGTGGAGCAGCGCCTACAGAGAGAGAGGAGGGCGGGGCGCTCGAGTCTGGCAGAGAGCGAGAGCTGCGCGACTTCTCTCTCGGTAGGCGGAGGCCGCTTTGCGCCTCGCCCGGCGCGAAGTCCTCAAAGTCGACCGCCGCGGCGGGCGCATTGCGCGGGTCGGCGTCCACGAAGCGCGTGCCCTTGAAGGTGAGCCGGCCGCCGCGAAAGCCGTCGGCGAGGTTGACGTTGATCGTCGCGACCGAGGCGTCGGCGTGCTCGGCGAGCGACTCGTCCTCGCCCGGCCGGTAACGCACCACAAAGCCATAGTGCTCATCCGCGTCGCGAAGACCGACCGAGCTCGGGAAGGCCATCTGAGACAGCGGCCTCCCGTAGCGGTGGGCGAGGTGCCGCATCGCGCCCTCCATCCCCAGCCCGCCCGGCACCGCCTCGAGGATCGCGCCGAACCGGTTCATGCCGTTGGGCCGTCTGATGGGAACGCCCGACGCCGCCGCGTGATCGAGCTCCTCCCGCAGCTCGGCGCAGAAGCGAGGCGTGAAGAGCTGCAGCCGCCAGACGCCCGCTACGCCGGTCGGCTTGAGGAGCGAGCGCAGCGGCGCCTCGTCGACCGGCCCGCCCGCCATCGCCGCCGCCTCGGCCGCCGCGACTGCAGCCCGGAGAGACGGGTCGATGTAGTCGGCCTCGTTGGCAGCGAGGTCGTACAGCCCCGGGTGAAGCCGGCCCCACTCGGAGCGTGCGAGCGCGAACGTCTCTGCGTGCTCCTCCCACCAGTCAGCCGCCTCAAACTCGCCACCGCTCTTGCTGGCGTTGGAGATGGACGCGGGCTTCGCGGCCGCCGCGGCCAGCGCCCGCTCCAGCGCGCCGGCGCTGGGCGCGGCGGCGACCGCCTGCATCGCGCCGGCGCCGGCAGCGCTGCGGGCGGAGTGGGCGGCGCAAAGAGCAGAGGTGATCATCGTAAGCGCACAGCAATGCTAGCTCCGCGGCGCGGGATGTGCGAAGAGAGGCCGCACAACAAAGTGAGCCCCGCGGCAGTGGACGTGTGCCGAGGAGTGTCTCGCGCCGACCGAGACGGGGAGTAAAGTTCACGACCTCTCACCGTGGAGGGCCAGGCCGGCGTGGAGTGGCTGCGAAAAAGACTGTGCGCCAGTCCCGTGCCCAGTGTCCGCGCTGCACGCTACCCGCACTCACGGACTCCATACCCGAAAGAAAGAGAAGGGAGCTCGCGGGAGAGGTGACGAGTGAACTACAGGTAGTGGGGAAGGCAGCCTCGATTGCCATACAGACATGGGTGCGAAACAACGACAAGACCAGGGCACGGGCAGAGGAACGAGAGAAGAATATAGGGTGGATAAAGCGCCTGTTCACGGCATGGAGGGTGAGCCACGCCGAACGTACCGAGCGGAGAGCCGAGCGGAAGGAGGACGGGGAAGATGACTCCGAGGAGGACGAACCAGTGGAAATCCAGTTGTCAGATGTCACGATGCATCCGAAGGGGACCCCGGCGCCGGCATCATCCGTAGAGGCACGAGTGTTCGAAGAGAGAGTGGACCTGAGCAACAACATGACCTGGAGGCAAATGATCGGAGTGGGAGTCAGAAATGTGGTCCTTGCGCGAGGGGAGCTCGATAGACTCGAGGGGCCAGGATACGCCGCGAGGAGGACGGAGTTGCGCCGAAAGGCGAAAGAAGCCGCGAGAACAAGGGACCGACAGGCGGCGGCGTCACAGGACGAGGCAGAAGAGAACGACGCGACAGAGGAGGAAATGACAAGGGAGAGAACGACGAGAGTGGGACGACCGCGAGGTGGCATGAAGGTTGCAGCGAGAAGCGGCGAGAGACTACGAAGAGAGATAGGAAGAGGCAGACTCCCTAGGGTGGGCGACGGCTAGCGCACCACACACCTCTCCTTAAAATCCCTGTGTGGTGGCGGCGTGCCGTCCTCCCATCCCTCCCTTGGGTTGTCTGTTTTCTTTCTTTCTTTCTTTCCGCGCTGCGAGCCTGTCGTGTCCCTTGTCAGGAGCAGGAGAGCCCCACCTGTCCCCCTGATCGTTCTTCCAAAATCCTGCTCGTGCAGGTGGGGACCCTGTCCTCGTCCCATCCCTCGTTTGGCGTGTCTGTTTTCTTTCTTTGCCCAGTGTTGTGCGAAAAAGAATTGGAAAAGCAGGGCGGGGGCGCCCTGGCTCTGACCCATCCCTCCCTTGGGTTGTCCGTTTTCTTTCTTTCTTTCTGGCTCTGACACAGGTCCACCACGGGAGCCGCCTTTAAGCGACTCCTGCGAGGGTGGCGAGGCACTTAGCTCCGTGCACCCGCCCACCCCCGCCACAGGCAAGCTCATTCACAACCTGCTCTGCGATTGCCGTGTGAAGAACGACCGAGTTGTGCGAAAAAGATTTTCCCCTCTGCGAAAAAAATTGAAAATGCGGTCGCACGACACGATTATTCACGCGACAGGCGAGGCGCGGGCGACGGCTTCTGAGAAGCCGTCGCCCGCACCACAGCGCACAGCCACAGGAGCAGTCACACCACTCCGGCGCCCACCCACTCCCCCTGCGAAAAAGAATTTTAGAACCCCGCTCCCTCGCGCGACTACTGGGCACGGGACTGACGCGCACTGGCGAAAAAGAATTTTACGCCATTTCGCGCAGCAAAAAACCGCTCACCAGATCACACGCACAATTCTTTCTCACGCTGCTGTTCTTCACCTCTCCACCTCTACATCAGGAGCGCGACAGCAAAGGCCCGCGCCGTCGCCATCGGCGCCACCACCTGCCACGCGTTGGTGGCCGGGTCGTACCGCTCCACCGAGCTGAGGTCGCCACCGCTGAAGCCGCCCACAGCGTAGACCTTGCCGTCGAGCACCGCCACAGCGAGATGGCACCGAGCCGTCGCCATCGGCGCCACCGCCTCCCACGCGTTCGTCGGCGGGATCGTACCGCTCGACCGAGCTGATGGCGCCGGCGCCGTAGCCTCCAACAGCGTACAGCTTGCCGTCGAGCACCGCCACGGTGGGAGCCGCACACTGCTCGGTACCCCCCCCTGCACATCTAAAGTCATGGCCGACCCCCCCCCCCAAGCAGCAGCGCTCTGCTGCTGGGGGACCCCCCCCCCCCAGCAGCAGCGCTCTGCTGCTGGGGGGTGCTGGCATCTCTGTACCGACAGCTGTAAGTAAGTACGGTTAGCGTTCCAGTCGTCGGCGAGGTGCTGGATATTAAATGGCTTGAGGGCGAGCCGCATGGCTTCCACCACACGTCGCTGCCCGCCATTGCGGCGAAGCGTCGCGGCGGACCTGACAGTTTTGCCCCGCGCGACGGGCCGCGCGCTAAGCTCAGTCGATCGATTTCGACGAGCGAGCGATCCGAGGATCGAGCGGGGGACCGATAGGCTAGAGAGATCAACGCTGATCGATCAACGTCAGCCGAGACGCCCGAGTGAGTGGCTCACTATACGGCTTTTAGTGTGGTAGTACAAGATAGACTCACATGGTCACAAGTCTTTAGTAAAACGCCAGCACTCGACACGACGAAGGTGCATTGGGCTCGAAGCACGAAGGCGCGGTGAACACAGCCGCCTCGAGCGTACCGCTAAAACACGAGGCGAGGTGGGAGGGGGCGGCGGCGGCGAAGAGGCGGGAATCTGCGGGAGCCGGGAGAGCTGCAGCTGGGTCCAATGCCCTCTGCTGCTGGGGGGGTCGGGACCCCCCCCCCCACTCATTTCTACTCCCCTGGTGGCGGTGCCTCGGACCCCAGCGGGCTCACACCCGCCAGGCTGGTGGGGCTGTTGGACCACACTCTTTGTTGAGGCGGCGTCCGGACGGTTGATGTTGCGGCGCTCACGCTGCTCGCGCGGCT